AATTAATCGTAGCCAAATACCACTTCAATAAATAATCATTACTCTAATAAAATAAATATTCCGACGATCGCTCACAGCGATTGACAAAACAACCACTCGATGTCCATGTAACAATAATAATCTTACGATAAATTACTTGTATAAAAACAAGTGACGATTATTCATATACAGAGCCAATATGAATTTGTTCAGTATCAAAAGCGAACCTACGAATACGTCTCCGTGATATCTTTTTCAACAAACTTATATCATACGACCGTTTTTATGCGAATTCCCTTTACAGGAACCACCAAGTTTCGGTGCTCTCATAGAGCATCCAAAAATAATTTGCACACCACATCTGGGTGCGAGTACAATTGAAGCGCAAGAAAGGGTGGCCAGTGAAATTGCTGAGAATATCATCGCTTTGAATAATGGCAGTGGATTGTATGGAGCGGTTGGTATTTTTAATAATAATTTCCAATTTGCGAGACAATTTCTTGTTGTTAGAAGTCAACGTTAATGATTTTGAGAAAAGGTCTCACTCAAAATTTCCTATATTTGATTGTCAATTTGGCCAGTTTGATCAACTGCTAGACCTCATATTGCTTTGGTTCAGTTGAATGCGGCAGCACTGAACGCCGTATTGGACGAGGCTAAAGCGCAGTGGGTACGTGCGGCGAATGCTTTAGCTCACATTCTTTCTGTGATAGCTGATTCGCCGAAATCGATCACTTTACGATATCCGAAGGGTTAGTTCGCTGTTGTTGTCATTTTATAATCTAATGTTCATCAGCATCAGCATTAAGGCTGATATATGCAGTTAGTGAACAAATAGAAAAGTTTTTAAGTGAAATGTCTCATTTGCAGCTGCTAGTGGATTGAATAAAGGACTTATGGCCGGTGCAATAGTGGGATTACTTCAAGGGTGCGGTAATGCGGGTATGAATCTGATTAATGCCGAAATGAATGCGAAAAAAGAAGGAATTCAAGTTAGTTNACCACCTGATAATGACAATTTGAAGCAGTTTCTTTCCAATCATGAAACATTTGCGGTTTGCTTTCGAAGTGATAATTCACGAAATCGCTTGTCAGTGGATATTGCCCAGTTGAACGAGTTGTAATTGGTAGCGTTTTGTTCAGGTGAATGTCGAGCCGAGTACGGAGAATGAGTTGGTTGTTTGTGCTGGTGCTACGAGCGTTAGTGGTTATCCATCACCGGCTGGCACTATCGTGTCGGCATTCAACGCCTCTCGAATGCCAGTACCGTTGATTGCTGTGGGAACGTTGGCGATCAATCTGAAGGAAACTCGCGTTGTGAGGGAACTTCCAGATTCGCTGAAGGTTCGCTGATGTTTTCCAAGACATTACTAGTACTCTGATGTTTTAATTCATGATTGAACCTAGTGTTGTGTAGAATTAAATTACTTCTTGCTTAATTTCGTCGTCATAGTATAAGTTCTGGAATAATTTCTCTTCTGAGGCAATTCTCGGTCTCAAGACAAAAGTGATCTATAGTGTGAAATCTGTATTGATATGATACAATGAAGTGGTTCACAAATATCATATAGAATTAAGCATGCGTCATCCGGTTGTGTCTGCCTCATGCAAGAGCTTATTCGAGCCGTGCTCTTTGCTTTCAGAATCATTTATTGTTAATTCTAGGTTGACAATTGATGTGTTTGCAGGCAAAACTATCTGTTGATTACGGTCTTGTTGGTGGAGGCTGTGTAGCGTTGTTTGGGTCGCTAAGCGCCGATGAAGTCGAGCAGCTTTCAGTGCTGTTTGATGTGGTTCAGTTTTGAAACTGGTATGGATGAATTGGAACGGAAAAATTGAGAAGAACGGATAATAAAATGTTTCAGTTGTGATACAAAGTTTTTAGTTTACACAGTGAATGCATTCACCGATTCAGTGCACTTTTCTTTACCACATCACACTCAAATTTATGACAGTTTTATTCACTTGTTCGTTGATAACTAATGGTTGGTTACCAGTTTCGAAGGAATCTGTTCATTGCTTTCCTTTTGTGGCCTTAACAAAGTTTTTCTGAATACACAAATATCTCGTTGCCTTATTACACTCTATTGATTCGCTGTGTTATTATAATTGCGTGTGTGCCTTTTGATAAAAAGAATGTTCAATCAACATCAGTCGTTTGACCGGCGGATTTCCGCACAAGATTTTCTGGTTTGCAATTCAGAACGTATTTACTGATTCGTTTGCGTAATCGTAATTTGTTCCCTCATTGTCAGCTAAAATTTAGATTGTTCTATTCCAGTTGCGTTGTTTGATAACATACATCAATTCACTTATTTACAAAAAGTTTGCTTTTATTCTACTGCATCGTTTGCAATTGCAATTCAAATAACTTATTGTTTCTAATCCGTTTGCTGTTACTTGTGTAAATTATTTCCTCTCCACTTATTATCTTCAAACGATTACCATCTACATTCACCGCATTGCCTTTCGTTCGCCGGGTTTCAAGTTTTGTGTCTTGAACAAGTACAGAGTTGTGAATGGATTGATTCTTTTATCTGCTCAATAAACTAATTTTTTTATCATCATGACATGTTTCATCACATCAAGAATCATTTGATCAACTGTTAATAATAAAAGAATATGACTACGGAAATCATACTAAGTTCGTTGGATGGACTCACCTGAATATACTAACAACAGGATTGTTCGACGTTTGTGGGCTGAGGATCTCCGGAACTAAAAAGCAAACGATAAATTTGTAAAAGATTACAGTAGCGATATTTGATTACAACATCCATATATAAAAAGCAAACGATAAATTCGTAAAAGATTACAGCATCCATATATATAACAAGTTTAAAAACGTTCCGAAAACAAAATCCTTAGATGAAATCTATCATTTGTTCTAATTGAAAAGCAAGTGAGTTTTGCCGATGTATGTTCAAAGGTACGATTTTAGATATAAGGACGTGGATATATGAGGAGATTCAGTGAATGGAGTAATGAAATTGACGATGCATGCATCTGTCAACAAACATCTCTGTCAAAAACAACCCTTAAGAATGACACAACGAAAACTTTGTGGTTCCGTGGCTGAACGCTTCAGAGCATTTTCATTTAATTGACGGAAGGATCTTCCTATATCGGTTCAAAATTTAAGTTATAGTGTCTCTATCAGCGCTGTCCATTGATCTGAAATGCTAAAAATCTAATTCTGCAATGAATACCAAAAAAGTGAAGAAACGTTCAAGTGAAAATTATTTCTAAAATACTCGTTAAAAAATGAGACTGGATAGAATGAAATAGTATTGTAGGGGGTTCTACATAGGCTAATAAAGTATCCTTGAAAGCTCCTGTTGGGTAATGCTTACAATGACCACAAAAATTAATCAGTCGTTTTAACTTCCAAACTGTTCAGGCATTTATTAGTCGGAAAGTAATTTTCTGTGAAGTGGAAAATACGAAATTATTTGAGATCAGCAGAAAAGATCGTCTGAGTAAAGCAGATTGATGCCGAAACATTTGCGTGCAAACTGAATATTTCCAAGTGAAACTCTGCATGCGGTTCGTATCTGAGGCACCCGCTTTTTCTGAATAGTCGTATTATATTATAAATGAATCGTCTCGATGACGCTCGATGAGGCGTTAAATCGGTGTCATTGCAGACTTATTTTTGGGTTATTTGGTGGTCACAACAGAGAGAAGGTGCTGAAAGGAGATTTAAATGCAATGAGCCAAACAATTCACTTGAACACAGTCATATCATAGATCCATCCAGTCACTAAGAATAATCCATTCGATGATCATCTTCGAATGATCCCAGCCGTTTCGAGGTGCATATGCGACTCTGCAAAGACTCCAAACATTCGGCTGAAATCGCTCTCCAATGATCATTACCTCTCATCTCAATTGATCTTGCCAGTCATAAAATTAGTCTTTCAATCAGTTTTATTGCCACATATTCCTATTCTTTCAAGCTATATTATATTACTGCTTTCGATCTCAGAAGCTCGCAACTGCACTACTTTCATCGATCCTCAGTACTGGTGCGGCCAACGAATCAGAATTAACAATATCAAGTTACCATGATTAATTGTTCCCAACTGGTTATTAGTATTGGTTTCTGTATGCTGCTGAAACACTGGCAAGACATCAATCATATTTTTTGCATACTGTTCATGATGGAGATGGCACGTTTCTATCGGATTTGTCGGATTCCTAGGAATACAATTGGATGGCTACTCTATCTGAATTCACTTTCGGTGTTGGGTAAGTCTAGTTCGCACTCTCCATATTTTGCGTTGACAGTGCGAAGTTTACGCACAATCAACGTGAATTGCTCAAAGGACTGCAAAAAGAATTAATGTGCCGAATCGTTAAGCATAATTTCATCGTTGAATACCGATTTTGTATGCGGAGAACGCATAACGTTCAATTTGTACACAATCATTCAGGCGATACATCTTCAGCTGATTCAATAATAAAACGAAGAGAAAGTACCAAAAACGATTTTGAAGTTATCTTCGAAATTCCAGCAATTATACCGTAAATTTCCATGCTCAAATTAGTTTCTTTCCACACAAACAGTTCAGAAATGCCGTTCAGGAGAATGCTGCCAACCACAGTCTGATGTTGGCTATATGGCCAACGATAGACGAGCAATGTTTGCAGCTCCACACGTCGTCACGCAGATGGCAGCTCATCAGCCCCATTTCGTGAACGAACCAGCAAATGCTTATTTTCATGCAATCGCCTCCAATCAGCTATCATCACCTTTTGCTGTTGCAAGCAAAAATATCCTTGAAAAGACTCGATTTCGTTCATTCAAAATCTCGAAACAGTCCACTTGTCGAATGCAACTGCTGACTGTCAGTGATTTTTATGCGTGTACAACAGTCACGCCGTACAATGATAATGCACACTTAGCGAGTGACGGCGCAATGCAATGCGATTTCCAGTCCACGTCCAACTGTAGGTGAGGTTCAAATCAACTCTTTGAATACGTCGCTGGTCAAACGACTAATTATCAATCTTACTTACAAGATTATCAATCAAACTTGTTAGTATATCCATAAGATTTATGATGGAGTTTTGTTTAGTTCCGAGAGACAAGAAATGTTATCGAGATGACAAGAGACAAGAAAAAGATTTTTTTCTGAATCACTTTCACGCCAAACAACTCCCATATTTTCAATTGATTATTTATGGTTGAAGCGAACTCCTGCTGCATTTCACGTCTGTACATTAAGAACTAATCAGAAAGTGCCTCGCTTGATCAGTATTCCGTGAAATTGTTGAAATATTTTGAAGTGATCGATCGAACTCCCCCCTCTGAAAAAAGTGATTTATAGTGACGCGGTCTAATTGACACGATCAGTATCCTCATAGAATATTGAATAACCAGANTCGCCAGATCAGTCAATTGAATGGAAACGAGGACGATTCGAAGCTAGCAACGTGCATCTGCTTGAAACATTCGCCGCCTTGACGGGTCGAGCAATAGGATCTACTCCAGACAGAGAGTTTATTTTTATAGGCGAAACATTGCCTCACACCGGATATGACGAAGCGATTCTTAGAGCTGATATTCCATGTCAAATTGGCGATGGCAGATTGCTGTTTGAGTAAGTGACTGCTTCGTTTAATATTTAAATTTAAGCCGTCATCAGAGATATCCTCACAAGCACAGAATTTTCAGTTTCTGGAAGACTGATCCGAACGTGCAAATAAAAGTGTGTACACGGACTGATGAATTTCGATCGTGCACTGAGGTGAGTTTTGATTGTGACAGAGATCAATTTTCACTTGCAATACATCTGATACTCGTTCAGTTTCGTTCATATTTTCTTTAGTGGTCAATTTTTTTGTTGCGATTAGAGAATCACGAAAGAAGAATTTAAATTACGAAAAGAAAGATGATTCATAAATTTTTGTGTCATGAAATCGTTACATTTGTTGTAATCAGTTTCTCGTGAGTTGATGTTTTCATTGCAGATGATTCGTTACAATGACAGTTCAACGGTCGACGTCGATGTTATAAATCCCAAAAACTCATCGTTCGCAATTGAAGTATCCAATTTCAGTTGAATGTTTTCATCTTTCTGTGTTTTCAACATCTTGTTGTTCTTTTTCTGAATCAGTTTCAAGCTAAACAGCTCTTATATTTCCAAATGATTATTTTATGGTTGAATCGAACTCCTGCTGCATTTCACGTCTGTACATAAAGAACTAATCAAAAAATTTTACGCTTGATCAGTATTCCGTGAAATTGTTGAAATATTTTGAAGTGGTCGACCGAACTGTCCCCTCCAAAAAATTGATTTATAGATCATTGTGAGCAGTATCACAGAACCATCAGTGCTCATTATCGATAATTTGCGTTATGAAGCAACTTACTGCACCAAGCAGCCAGATTGGCGTTCACAAGTAAGACGATAAGGCATATTCAGTTATGAACTATTTAACTTTTAATATATTCTGTTAGTAAGTCTGCTGTCTACAAGCGAAACATTTGAGGCACAAATTTGAAGTGACTTTTTAGACTGTCAAAAAGTCGATTGCTCAAGTAGAATTGCCTCCTTCAAAACNCTGACTTTGTTTTGAAGCAGTTCAATGTATCCTTCCTGTATCTCAACAGTTTTAGTTGTATCTTCACTTAAGAATTTTTCTTTTTTATACTTCACCCGAATGTGTACTCGATAAGGCAATTTATGCATCCGAACCAATTAATTCATTGAAGGTATTGACTGCCTCGAACATTTATTTGCAAGCTAAAAAGTGCATTTATTCTTATAACTTTTGGTGTGCGATTCTCTTTTCCGAGTGTCTTATCGTTGGCCATTGCAGAGTGAACATCATTCGGAGGCAGCGCCCGACTGTCCAGTAAAAGAAACAGCCGAAAATGGAACAAGTCTACCAATTAAACGCTTATCGGCATGTCACATTCTCAACTGTGATTTCGAATCCACTCTTTGTAATTGGTACAACGCTGTGAAGGCGGACGAAACGGGAAGGTGAATTTTGATGGTTAAATGCAATGAAGCAGAATGCTTGAACTTTATGTCTTAATATTCGTTCAGGCCTTATCAAGAATAGCTTTGTGAACATGTGTGCATATCAGACTTATAGTAAAGGTATATTCCGCGCGACATTATCAAACGATTTAGTTTCATCCGGTTAGAGTGTGGTCTTTGCCTAATACTTGAGCATAGACTGTGGCTGAGGCTTAGGCTTGAATATCGTAACGCCTATAGTGTTATATTAATGTATACAACTAATCTATAGTGATCAAATGGGACTTATTTCAACTTGATATTGAGCAGAAAGACTTTTAGTAGGGACACTTTCGTTTTAGTAGTATCCGTAGTCTCTGTTTTGCGAATTCACATCATGAACGAGACTGATAAGAATTGGTGATAAGATCGAGACTGATAAGAATTACACGTGTATTTGGAAGTTTTTTCTCTCCTTCATAGAAGATAGGTTTCAAAAACAGAAGGTAGCTTGATCAAATGTATTTAAATCGCATGATGAAACCATTCAGTTTACTTTTATTCACAATGGTACATATTTGCTGAGAACAAAATCAACAAACGAGTTGAATTTTGGGCTTGTTGATGAATTCTCTGTTTCGTCTTGAACTCTGGATAGAAATTTGAAAATAACACTCTCTCAACGTAAGGGAAAACAGAAATTACTGCTTCTTATGTAAAATCGCCGTCAGGTTTGGACGTTGGCGTGTGGTACGAGAACGGCGAAACAATCGGAATGCTGCAATGCGCTCTCGGATCACTCTTAACGGTCTTCCAGTCAACCACTTCGGTAACGGAATTGTTTTTGATT